GCGCTCGGCGGGCCCCGCCCCGCGGCGCCGGCCCGGCCGCCTCGGCGCGCGCTCAGTGGAAAAACCCCGCGTTTGGGGCCGGTTCCCGGCGCCTCTGCCTCGCCAAGAGCCCTATTTACCTCCCCAGGCTTAGAGGGGGCCGGTGGCACCGAGCCGCCTGCGCCGCTGAGACGCAGCTGAGAAAGGGACTCTGCCCCGCGCGCCGAGCCCGGGGCGGGCCCGGGGCTCCGAGGGCAGGCGGGCAGGACAGCCTGCAGGTGAGCGGGTGCAGATAATGCTCTGAGGACCTGGCGTCCGCGGCTCTGTGCCTGCATAGTGGCTTGTGTTTTATGGGACCACGATTTCCAGCTTTTTCCGAATCTCGAATCTCGTAGGCACCTGTTTGCCTCCCTTCCCCAAAGGTTGCAAACTCCAGGCATACTTGGAAAGAACACGGAGCTGAAGTTTAGGAATGAAAAGACGAACAAAGCACCATGCTCGGGGTTGTCGCAGGGACCGGGAGGGGAAGGAGGTGGAAAAGATGGGAAAGGCCCCGCCAGACCAGGGCTGTGCAGAGGCAGCACTCCCCAGTCCAAAGCCAGACTGGGCGGCCCGCTGATTGTAGCCTCTTCCCACGCCTTGTGCCTTCCGCAGCCCCGTCATGGAGACCTCAGTTTAGGGGTTTTTGTGTGTGTGTGTGTGTTTTAATTTTATTTAAATGTTTTTTCTTTTGAGCTTGGCAGATAAAAACAAAAAAGAAGAATAATTACTTAGGGTTTATTTTGAAAAGCATTGTCCCCGAGCCAGCTTGTCTGGATGCTCCTCCTCTGGCCCAGCCTTGGAAACTGGGAATTGGGATTCAAAATGTGAACCCCAACACAACTCCTTGGAACTTACCTGGTCTTGGAACTTGGAACTTACCTGCATATCGTGTACAAACAGCATATTAGGAGCAATTACTGACCAATCTAGAAACAGTAAGAATTATATCTCACATTTTTGTCACTCTTTGTAAGGTGGCTTGCAAAGCACTGTATTTTGTCCTTTGATTCTCACAACTCTGTGAAAGGTAATCTGGGAATTCTTCCGGTTTTATTGATGCAAAAGAAAGAGTGCCTTGTCCACGTTCTTACGGCTGGTAGGAATTTGAATTCGCCTTTATTATTGGTCCAGCCCTCCCCAGATCGCCCTCCTGTGTAAGGCACGCCACTTAGTTCAGGTGTTCTGCATTGCCTCTGACGGCGCACAGAAGATGCTTGAATCACTGAGATGGAGCTTGGGAAGCTTGGTGAGGACGGGTGCTGGGCTCTGTTGGTGTCCCTGCCAAGGTACTTCCCTCTGGCGTGTTGAGCAGAGAGCCCTGAAGCCTCCCTGTGCCGAGCTGGTGTGGCAAGAACTGCCTTTGGCACTGACGGGACCAGCCTCACCTCTGAGCTCAGTGGCCTCTGGCACAGGGAGATTACATCGAGCGGTGCCCTCTGCCCTCCTTGGTTCTGCCAGCGGGGGAGGCAGTGCTGGCAGGCTGCGGGGGGAGCAGCAGGAATGTGCCCTGTGGCTCAGCAGTTAGGTCAGAGGGCCCCAGACAAGCCAGGGTTCCCTCCAGACCCAGGCCGCCCACACGGGAGGCCGGTCTGCCGTGGCACAGCTGGGGCAACAGAGCTGGAGCGGGGGTTCAGTGTCCGTGCTCTTCAGATGGCTGACCCTCAGGGGAAGGAGTGAATCCGAGCCCTGCGAAGAGAAAGATAACTCGGCCTTCCTTACAATTCGGAAGCGCGTTACTGCATCTCACATGGTTTTGCATATATTCTTCCTGGCAACCCTTCAGAGTGCCCTGGTTTTTAAGGAGACACTGAGGTTCAGAGGGACAAGTGGCCTCTCCGAGTCAGAGTGAGAGAACCCAGGGTTTTGTCCTGAAATGCAATGTCTTAATGGTATCACCCTTGCCTTCCCATCCGCACCCATGCAACTTGGTAGACGAGGTGCTCCGAGCCCAGTCAGGAGACTGCAGGCGAGGGGCAGAATGGCCAGATATTTGGGGGCCAGCGGGGGTCTCGCTTCAGGATCACTGCTCAGAGGAAAGCCTCTCCCAGCCCCACATCCCTCCCTCACCCAGGGCGGCGTCTGTTTCCCAGCAGCTGGTCGCCCTTTGCTCTGCTTTTAGCGTCTGCTCAGAAATTTCTGAATCTGGCATCTGGAAAGGCAGTCTGGGCCAGAGCTGGGCAGCTCATTGCAAGTAGCTGAGAAGCTACTGAGAAGCCATGACAATTCGGAAGTACTTATAACAAGGTCCTGCCGATACTGGAAATGCCAGTTAAGCAGCCTGATAACAAGGGTGGGTGGGAACAGAGTCCCTAGTGGTCCTGTGGTCCCAGGTGCCTGTGCCACCAGGCTGCTTAACTGGCATTTCCAGTATCGGCAGGACCTTGTTATAAGTGCTTCCGAATTGTCATGGCTTCTCGGCTATATACCCCTATGAAAACGTTTGGTTTTGGAGCATAAGCTGCTTGCAAAGCACTAGGCTTGGGAAGGGCTGGTGCTGTCAGATTCCCAAGCCCCTTTCCAAGTCCTGACCATGGTTCCTCCCCACCCCCCATTCCCCACACACTCTGTTCTAGCCTCGGCGGGAGTGTCCACTGCACGATAAATAGTCATGGACTGGGAGTTGGGAGTCCCGGTTCAGTCACTGAGCAGCCTCCCCCATGTGACCTTGGACTAGCTATCCCTTCTCTGTGCCTTGGTTTCCTTATTTACTCAGTGAGGGGAAGGCTGGATCAGAGCCCTGAGGAGAGGGAAGGGGAGCCCAGGAGAGCAGAGGGAGCCGAAGCATCCTCTCCAGACTTGTTCCCTGAGGGCCCGGGGCGAGGCGGCCCACGTGCACCCTTAGCTCGGCACCCCTTGGCACCCCTTCTTCCTCCGGCCCTGGCTCTGCCTCAAGCCAGCTCATTCGGAGGAGGGAGGATTCCCTGGGTGGGGCTGCACTGGGCAAGTGTCCCCTCCGTGTTTGGAATATGATGCTGTCTCTACTTGTTGCGGGCATGAATTAACCCACCCAGTGATGGTACTTTGTTTTATTAAGACTTGATCAGTTCCTGCCCAGAGACGGGTCCTTGAACAGGCAGCAGTCGGAGCTGGATGAGGGGGTAGAGGTGAAGAGGGTGGAGGGTGGAGGGTGGAGGGGGCCGGGCGAGAGCAGGGATTGGGAATGCACACCCAGCAGCAGAATAGCACAGTGTCCATAGATTTCTGGCCGTTGGATCCCAGGAATTGCAAGCATGCGTTACTTAAGTGTCTTTGGATGTTAGAACTGAGATAGCCTCATAGATTTTTTAGTTCCTTCCTCTGTGTATACAGATGAGACCCAGGCCCAGAGTGCCTTCAGAGCTTATGTCGATTTCCCTGCCAGTGAGCAGCAGACTTAGGACCCAACCTAAGGCTACCTTCACCCAGGCGGGAGTGTGTTCTTTAAGGCCACGTCGACGCTGTCCAGATACCTTCAGTACTGAGCTGAAACTGGGTGGCTACAAGTCAGTTCCAACCCTGCCTCACTAGCGTCTAAAGCACATGTGTCAAACACAAGGCCTGCGGGCCAAATCCGTCCTGCCAGGCCTTGCAATGTGGCCCGCACCGCGCTGTCATCACTGCACTCCGCTGCGTTTCCATCACAATGACAGTTTATGACTGTTCAGTAAACCATTCGGCCCGCGATTTAGGCTGGATTTTAGATTTTGGCCCCTTCTCTGATTGAGTTCGACACCCCTAGTTTAAAGGGTAAAGTTCAGATCATTTTATTAGACATGTAATGCCCACCAGTTACCAGGATTCATGTTAAGTGCTGGAGATGGAGGAATGAAGAAGTGGCCCCTGCCCTCGTATTGATCCACTATTCTCCGTAGACAGATATGTAAAGAACGCGAGTACACAAAGTCCATTTGCCTGTGCAATGTGCAAAGATACGTGTGTGTTTGCATATGCACGCACGCTATATAATCAGAGGCGAGGGAGCAGTCAGCTGCCAGGGCTTTCCAGAGAGGCTGTGGAGAGAAAGTGGAATTTGTTCTGGGCCTCTATCTCGTTGGCATGGATGGGAGGGTGTCCTGGGTAAAAGAAGTGACAGGAGCAACAGTGGAGCCTGACAGCATGCTCTAGTCCTTGCACTTAGAGGTCTGGCGAGGGTGGGAAGTGGCAGGGCTGAGGCAGAGTGGTGGGCTGCCCTAAGCTGTGGAGGGCTCTGTCCGCGTGCTGAGGCCATTGTGAGTTCAAACCCAGGGGAAGGCGCTCAGGCCGCCATTCCGCTCGCTCTGGCTCCAGCGTGGAGAACAAGCTGTGGAGGACCCGGCTGGAGCCAGGCCAGGCCCAGTGGTGTGGTTCCTGAAACTGGCCCCGCACAAAGTGGCAAGGGTCAGGGCCTGGACAGAGGAGCAGGCCTCAGGGTCAAGAAGAGCATGCATAGCAAACACATTTTCCTGACCGAGTGGGTGTGGGCAGCGAGGGAGAAAGAAGGGCCAAGTGTGACCGTCCGTTTCTGGCTCGAGCGGTTGGCTGGATGCTGTGTCCTTCAGTAAGCTGGGGAACTCTGAAAGAGAAACTGATAGTGGGGGTCACTCGCGGAGGTACTGCTGCAGAGATAACCTGCAGAGCAGCGGAGGGGAGCTGAGTCAGGAACAGCGGGAGAACTGGAAGCCAGTACCAAGGTGGTGGGGGAAGTGCTGGCAGTTGGTGAGGTCGCCCAGGAAGGGAGGAGGGTTCAGAGGAGCCACTTAAGTGGCAGGAAAAGAAGGGATGGCGAAGGAGCTAAAGAAGAGACAGCAGGTGAGGGGCCTCCGAGGTGCCAGCGACTTCCTGGGTGTGGGAAGGAACGGGGTCATGGGTGAGTGCCGGAGGAAGGAGGCCTTCCTGTGATCTCGGTGAGTGGGCCGCACGAGCTGCGTTAAGGGCTCCGCTTCATTGGACGCACCGGATAGCAGGCAGAGCCGCCGGCACTTGACAGATGTTATAATCTGCATGACTGCAAATGACTCAAACTTTGCTAAGCTTTCTGAAGGGCTAGGGGGCCTCGCCGGCTTTCTGGAGATTGACTATTGGCAGCTGCAGGCGCTCCAGGGTTTCTGGGTGGCCTGGTCCTGCCCATGGAATGAGGGAGCTCCGGGCCATAGGCAGGACTCGGGAGCTCCGCCCCCAGCCCTCCCCTGCTGCCTGCTGTGCCTGCTCACCAGCTGAGCCTCTGTGCTGTCCGCAGAAGCAGGAGTGTGGGACGCTGTGAATGGTGAGTGCCTTGTCCCCAGGTTTGAACTGTCCAGGGTGAGGCATTGGGGACCATGTGTGGGGGAGGGAAGGTACCTTGGGACGCTCTGGGCTGCAGCCAAGAAGCGCTGCAAATTGAAATGGGCAGGAGAGGGTAGAATTATGATGAGGAACCAAGAGTGTGCAGACTCCCGAATGAGCTGTTTTGGGTAGTCACAGGATGTCCCTGGGGTGCTGCTGCAGGATCTTTAGCATTCACCTGACCCGCCCCTCGTTTTGGAGTTGGGGGAATGAGGCTGGGTGCGGGATGAGAGGGCTGCGGTGCTGGAATCAGCCCAGCCTGGCCGAGGCCTCGCCGGGTCTCCTCCCCTGGTACCAGGCTCTTCCAGATCGGAGCTGCCACTCGGAGCTGCCACAGCTGGTGTTGGTTTGTGGTCTTATCATGCGTCGCCTTCTTGTTTGTGTGGGAGAGGACAGATCAGATAAGCCCCAGCGTGGAGCACTGGATACTGTAGCTGCGGCAGGTGGGGGCCGGCTCTTCTGTAAACAACCTTGCTATTATCTTTCAGCGAAACTGACCCCTTCCTTTAGGGATGGGGCTGGGAAGGGAAGACAGAGAAGGGACATCTGTCACATGGTAAATTTCCTTTAGCCAAACATGGTTTGACTGTCTTTGATGACTGAGAAATTAAGTTGATCTTTCTAAATTCTCTTTAAGACAAAGGGGAAGGTACCCCTTGACCTCCAGGAACCCCTAAGTAAAGGTGTGGGGAGGCAAAGTGTGACAGTAGAAGGACTTCCAGCTTTGGGGTCCCGGAGGTCTGGGTCCAGGGTACAGCCTGCTGCCTGCTGTCTGTGCGGCACCCAAGAAGGTATGAACGTCTGTAGCTAGGTGCTGTCAGCTACAACACAGAACCGGGTCTGCATCAGGAGGCGGTTGAGGGAATGAAATCAGGCCGTGCATGTCCGGGGGCACCAAGTAAATGCTGCTTCGCTGGCCCTGTGAGTAGCCTTGGAGACCCATGTGAACATGCATTGTTCGATTTAGCTATGAAGGCTCCCCCCTACTTCCCCCTCTTCTTTTTTTGTCCGTGATTCGGTCTCAGAGTCAGCTCTCGCTGTGCAACAAGTTGCAGTGGTGCATGCTCTGAGACAGGCCAGGATGGAAATTGCTTTGTAGTTCACGGGGCTTTGGCTGAGGGGCTGGATCTACATACTTCCTAGATGTTTCCGAAGTCAGTTTTCACTGCTTCCACTGGCAGAAGAGCCAGCGGCCAGGCCAGAGGCCCCAGGGAGCATATGAGGCCTGACTCTCACCTCTGGTGCCAGCGAGGCGCTCACTAACTGGCCCTACAGGCTGAGGCTGCGGGTCCACCCCCTGTTCCTGCTTTCCGGATCAGCCAGAGGAGGTGATGGGGGGTGCACATTGCTTCTGGCGGTGCTGGAGCCCACATCCTGTACTGCACCTCCTGAACTTGAGGTAGAGAGTTGGGGGCCTTTGGGTCATTCTCAGAGTGCCTTCAGTGCTGACATTCACCCCCAGCTAGCCTGCTGCTCCCCAAGTTTATTCAGCTCGGGCCTGCCTGGCTCTTCCATCCTGCCCCCAGGTCCTACATCCGCTCCAAAGACACCTGCTCTGGGTGCTTCTGTGGCTGCCTGCACTGACATAGCCTATGCTCACCTCTTTCCCCAGCTGCCTTGCTTCTCCTCCAGAATTTCTGTTACCTGTGTCCTAGGCCTGTTTCCTTGAGGGCTATGTGTCATTTAGTTATATTTGGAATAAATAAATATTTGGAAAGAAATTCTGAGTCTGATCCCTTGTGCTCTTGTGCAAATACATGATTGTTGATGGAGCCTGTGCCTCTGAGAAGAGCTGTGGTGTGCAGCGAGGGCGTGGAGCTGACCGCAAGGGTCACTGGCTTCCTGAAGGGCACTAATGTGTTCCAGGAATGGAAGCAGGACCTTTTGTAGGGCAGATGTAAGCTGGCCTTTAAGTCCCAGGCCAGAAATGTTATCAGCTCTGTGATCAGAGGCCACGCCATGTGCTTCTGAATCATACACACATGTCAGAGATCCAGGGACATTTCCAAGTGTGTAAACATGCAGCGATTGTTCCAGGCGCTGGGGGACCTCTTGTTTACAGCAGGCAGGTGAGAGCGATGGTTTTCCTGCTCATTGTTTTCTGGACTATAATCCAGTGATGTGTGACTGCTACGTAGGAGAATTGGAAGCCAGCCTAAGAACTTTGGGCTGGCTTCCTGCTTGGCCAAGAACTTTGGTCTTCCATAAGTCATCATCTTCATCACTCGGTTCTATTGGACTCATTTTACTGCACACAATGGAGAGCCCACTGTTTACCACACAGGTATGTGCTGGCACAGGAGATTCTGAGGTAAACTGAGGAACAGACCCGTCTCAATCTTGTGTTGAGCACATGAGACGGATCATGGGTGCAGTATGGGCACAGTACCAAGGTGGGCACCTCTTGGGCTGGGAGTGGGGTAGGCAGAGCATCCAGGGAGCTTGGAGAGGTGTTTTGAGTCTTGAAAGATAGAAGGAACAGGTTAGACAATCCAGGCAGAGGTATGATGTGTTCCGGTGTTGACTCTCACTGTCACCATGGCTGCCCTCCCACAGTGAGCTGAGGAGACAGCCTACCCTCATGGCCAGCCAAGCACTAGATCCCGGCTGCTTTGCTCCAAGACAATGCTTCTGAGTCTCCATGTGCATGTGAATTGCCCGATCTGATTAAATCAATGCAGGGTGTGATTCCTTCGTTCTAAGGCCAGCTGCAGATTCTGTGTTCCCCACCCTGCCAGTGCTGACCCAGGATCCACATGCTGAGGACTGAGGTTATAAGAAACCTCTCCCAGCTGAGTCCTCCCATTGGAGATACCATAGTGGCATCCCTTTCCCCAACACACACACTCAACACGCACACACGCAGGCCTCTCCCTTTTCCCTTCTCCCCTAATATAACAGATGCCAAATTCTTCTTTCTTAAATGCTGCTTTCATTTGGTCATTCCCACCCCCACCTAAAAATTCCTTTTTATTTCTTAATTCAAATCTGAGCTCCCCAGGCTGACCTAAACTCTAGTCTGACCTACCTTTCTTTTCCCCCAAAACAGCACGACCAAGTTACTCCCAGCCCCGCTTCCTGGCCCTGGCGGGTCCCTCCCTGTCCCTCCCTTGGTTCCAGTGGTATGCAGAGTTCTGGGCATGTGTTTAATCCTTTGGAGAAATCCTCTCCCCAGCCAAATCCAGCAGGGAGAGCTGCCTTAGATTAGGAGGGCCTTATACACACACACACACACACACACACCAGGTCTATACCTGCTGATCCCAGCACAATGAGTTATGCTGATATTCAGGGAAGAAGGCTCCAGTGTAAGTCTGGCCCATAGGATGGCAAGAGGGCCAATAGAAAGATAGATTCTGTACGTGGTTGTCATTTGAAGGAAGACTGGATGGGTACCTGCTGCTGCTTCAGGGGTGGGCTGCTTCCAGGAGCTCGCACCCCTCAGCACAAGGCTCCCCACCTGGAGGAGCCTTAGGGCGGCACTGGTGCATGAGCTCAGAACAAGGCTGGACGGCTCTGCAGGCCCCACCGGAACTTCCGCTCAATGGCAAACCCCGCCCGGTGCAGACAGTGCTTGCCCAGACCCTCTGCAGCAGAGAGCAGCGCTGTGCTCCTACACATGCCCGCTCTCTCTGCTCTGCCCCCATTCATTCCACAGACATCTGTGCATTCTGCTCATGAGGAAACTGTCAGATTGGATAACTGGTGTCTAATAGTGGTCATCTCTCTTAAACTGGAAGCGAAAAGGTGGTGGGTGCTCTGAAGATCTGTGTGTTCTGGTCGACGATGGTTTTGTACATTGCTTTTTTTTTGGTTTGGTTTTGTCTTCTTCATGAGCCTATCTGAATAATGAGTAAAAGGTAAAGCTGTTCTCAGATGGGAGAAATGTATCGAGATTGCCTGCCTACCGCAAGGGAGGCCCTGCTTGGAACTGTCTGGGCTGGATGGATAGGACACGGTCTCTATTTCTGAGGGATTCTCAGAGGGAGAAGGATAGGGTTCCGAGACAGCGTGTGCGGTGGGATGAGGTGAGTGTCCTCTGATCACTGAAGAGAAGGCTGCCCTCAGGGGAATGATAGCCAAGACTCCTGGACTGTGAGGGAAAGGCAGGCATTGACATGGGGGAGAGATGGGCAGCACAGAGCTGGAGGGAGGCCTGGGCCTGGGCGAGGGAACTCAGGAGGAGCGTCTGAGGGGGCTGCTGTTTCTCTCAGCGCTCCTGACTCACGGGTGAGCTCCTCGGTCAGGAACCTCCGTGTGTCGGTTGCATCCAGCTCTTGGGGTGGCAGGTGCTCAGCAACCTGGTCCCATCCCATCTCTGCTGCCGCGGCTCCCCTGCTCTTTGCCCCTGGCCACCTGGTGGCTGCCGGCTGAGCCTGGCAATTTAACAGAACACATCCCCGCCGTCTTGTGAGAGCGGTAACGTCATCTTCCTTCCTCTCAATCTCCAGAAATGTCTTTCCTCCAGGATCCAAGCTTCTTCAGCGTGGGGATGTGGTCCATCGGCGCGGGGGCCCTGGGGGCTGCTGCCCTGGCACTGCTCCTGGCCAACACAGACATGTTTCTGTCCAAGCCCCAGCGAGCCAGCCTGGAGTATCTGGAGGAAATAGACCTGAAGACACTGGAGAAGGGTAAGCGGTGACCCCTCTGCTCCCAGTACTTTTCCAAGGCACTGGGATGCAGGCTTATTTCTTCTTTGTAAAATAACTTTTTTTTTTTTAATTCGAAAGATAATACAACAACGTTAGGGAACATTTAATAGCTTTTTAAATGACTAATAATTCCATTGCCTTAATGATACTTGTTTTTATTTCTGCACATTTTTTGCATGTTTACTTACATATTACTATATATTTGTGATCAGGGTGTACACGCTGTTTTATAGTTTAGGGTTTTCTTACCAAATAATTTTTCACTTTCTATTGCTGACTCTCTAACTATAATGATAATTGCTCCATAACATTTAGTAATGTTGTACCACTGATTACTAAACCCAGCCGCTACAAAATGCGAGCTGAGGAATCTGGGCTCCTGGATCTTCACAAAATAGGAGCTTCCCAGCCAAATACATTTCAGAAACACTATCCAATTCCGAGTTCTGAGGCTCAGCACAGGGCTTTGCTCATTGGAAGGAGGTGCCTGCACTGTTGCTGGCACAGGCATGCCAGCCCTCACCTGTGGTGCGGCTGTGCCCACAGGGGAGCCCAGGGTCGCACCTTTAGAACGGACCTGCCTGTCTTCCTGGTGCCCCGGTGGACAGCTGGGGGCCACACGTTTGCATGTGGCAGCTCCGTTGCCTCCCTGCGCTCTCAGCTGTGGGTCTGGAGCTCGGGGATTTCAGTCATGCCAATTGTGTGGGTAGAGCTGGCATGAGAGTTTGGTGAAAGTTGGGGTCACTGACTGGGCAGTCTTCCAGGTTGGCCCCTCAAAGGGAGGCCATCGTCATCTCTCAGTAAGCGAGGAAGCCTGTCAGAGGACGGCAGGAACTGTGACTGCTGTTGGTGATGTAGATGGTCTTTCTCAGAGATCAAGGAGTCCTGCTTTGTTCATCTCAGGGATTCCCAGTCTCCTCCTCCTCTCTTTTTTTAATACAAAATCCCACAGGGATGTGGATTTCTCTAAGAAATGTTAAAATAGTAAGGGTTCACACGTATTGACCCCTCAGTAACTATTATTATACTCGAGGCCTGTTGCACGATACTCATGCAAGAATAGGCCTGCCTTCCCCTGGCTTCACTCCCAGCCGCCCGGGTGCCTGCACGACCTACTCCCGGCAGGATCCGGAAAGTCCCCGCTCCCTTGCACGTCCCCGCTGCTTCCCCCGCCCCCCTCGGGCGGTCTGGAAGCCAGTAAGTCCCTGCTCCTGGGCCACCTGAGGCAGCAGGTCCTTGCTTCTGTCTGGAGCACTACTCCCCTCATAGCAGGTTTCACACCATTCCACACCTGCATATGCAAATTAACCTCAGTCTTTGTTTAGTTAATTTCATACTCATTCTGATTGGCTGTGGGCGTAGCCGAATGATGGTTAATTTGCATGTTTCTCTTTTATTAGGTAAGATACTGTGGTGAGCACTTACATAGCCATCTGTTAACACTCCCTTCAGCCCCATGCTGGACATCTGCTTTTATGACAGGGAAACTGGAGTTCAGGAGGAGACCCAGCATGGCCAAAGTCCCATGACTGGATGCAGATTAGGTCTGGCCTCAGAGCCTGGCTTGAGCTTCACCACTTTACTGCCCCAGGGGTTTCCTCGTTAGGCATCTTCTACCCTCCCTGTGGATAATATTGTGGGGAAATAAATTTAAAATTTCTGTTGATTTAATCCCTTTGGATACTTTTTTAAGAGATGGGATTTGCTTAACTGCCACTGTTCCAGAAATGTTTCAGTTTGGGATGTTCAAGTTTGCAAATAATTTTTTATGGAGGAAGGGCGTTTGGAGTATATAGTGGGAGCCTTACGCCATATGAATTTTCCTCTGAGGATGGCTGTTCCCCATCTGTGCTTCCTGTTTGCTTTCCCACATGTGAAACGCAGTTCCAGGCCCTCTGCAAGGCCTGGTACCACCGATGATCGGCTGAGCTCTAGGGCAGGTGGGTGGGGCTGGGCAGAGAGCATGCTGGACTCTTCTTTTCCCCAGAACCAAGGACTTTCAAAGCAAAGGAGCTCTGGGAGAAGAAAGGCGCTGTGATCATGGCTGTGCGGAGGCCAGGCTGCTTCCTCTGTCGAGAGGTGAGTGCGTAGAAGAGGACCCCAGAGGGTAGGGCCAGGCACTCCAGCTGGGACCCAGGACCTGCAGGCCCACTTTGGCCTTTGATCAACACTGGTCCTTCTTTTGTCATTTGCTCTGGGATTTCTTAGGACTAATTCTCTGTTTCTGCTCATTTAACCACTCACCATATCCTGGGGTTAGCAGCACACTTGACTGTCCTTTGTGAATCCCAAGACCTATCACTCGCACTGAGTCCTGGACTACCTTCCTGTTGCATCAAGGACGGGGACCAGGCCCAATTCCGAGTTCCTGAGGCTCAGCACTAGATTTGCTCATTGGAAGGAGGTGCCTGCACTGTTGCTGGCACAGGCATGCCAGCCCTCACCTGTGGTGCGGCTGTGCCCACAGGGGAGCCCAGGGTCGCACCTTTAGAACGGACCTGCCTGTCTCCCTGGAGCCCCGGTGGACAGCTGGGGGCCACATGTTTGCATGTGGCAGCTCCGTTGCCTCCCTGCGCTCTCAGCTGTGGGTCTGGAGCTCGGGGATTTCAGTCATGCCAATTGTGTGGGTAAAGCTGGCATGAGAGTTTGTTGAAAGTTGGGGTCACTGACTGGGCAGTCTTCCAGGTTGGCCCCTCAAAGGGAGGCCAACATCATCTGCTCAGTAAGCGAGGAAGCCTGTCAGAGGACGGCAGGGCCCAGCCTTGTCGCTTTACAGACAGGCAAGCCCAGGGCCAGGCTTGTTTGGTCAGTGGGTGGCAGAAGACCAGGTCTGAGAACCGGGCCCTGCCTGGGGAGAGCTGGGAGTGACAGCGCTCCTACGCTTGAGACGGCTTTGCTTCTCCGCTGGTGTGGTCGCTTCCACGCTGTCCTCCTCCTCCTCTGGCTGTGCTCCCTGGCCCTCAGGCGTTCCTCCGCCTGGCCCATCTGTCCCTGCTTGTGTGGTCGGGCTGGCAGAGAAGCTGCTGACGGCGGGACATGGTGTGCTCGGCTGCACCTGCATTCAGGGCACTGCCACGCCTGGCATTCCATCCATGCCCCACCACATCCCTGGAAAATACAGCCGGTTGTTACTGTTCTCGTTTTGTAGAAGAGGAAATTGAGGTACTGGGGCTGTGGCAAAGTCACAACTATTGCTTCCTATTGCTGCTTGCACAAATGATCACAAACTCAGGGTTTAAACATTTCAAATTTATTATCACAGTTAGAGGTCACAATTCCGAGGCAGGTCCCATGGAGCTACAATCCAGGTTTCAGCGGGTCTGCACTTCCTCCGGGGGATGTAAGAGGGAGACAGCTTCCGCCCTCCGATAGCTCCCAGGGCCGCTTGCAGTCCTGGCTCGTGGCCCCTCCCTCCATTTTTAATGCCAGCAGTGGCTGGGCGAGTTTCTTACACGCGTGACGGTGACACAGACTCTTCTGCTTTCCTTGCTCAATTTTAAGGACCCTGTGATTCCACGTGGGAACCACTTGGGTAATGCAGGATAGTCTCCTGTAAGGTCAGCTGATGGGCAGCCCAGATGTCACCGGCTGCCGTACTTCCCCCCTGGCCTTGTAACAACACACATTCGCAGGCTCCTGGGATCAGGATAAGGGACCTCCTTAGAAGTCCTCCCGTAATTCGCACTCAGCTTTTGATTCCAAACCTGTGATACCTCCACAGAGCAGCATGAGGCCTGCTGTGACTGGATTGCTCACGGCAGGTTAAACCCAGAAGGTTGCAGCCTGCTTCCTGTGCACCAGTCTCTGCCCCAGCAGAGCATCATGTGGGAACTCGTGTTTCTGAAAGGACAGTCCGATGGCAGTCTAGGCTATTCTGAGTGGCCGGGGGAGCAGGTCTGTGACTGTCCATTCATAGCTTTGTACAGGGTCACACCAGAGGAGAGAGCCCAGGAAAAGGGAGTGAAGTGTTTCCTGTCACACACATCGGGCCTGTGTCCTCTCTGCTCTGGGGCAAAGCTTGCCAGCACCGAAGCCCGTAAGCACTGGAATGATTTCTGCTTTGTTGGCTGTGCTGTTGCTGTTGTTCTAGAAAACAAAGGAAAAATTAAACATAGTGCCGCTGTGCTCCAGTGTGTTATATGGGAGGCGAGTGAGCTGCATTTGGGAGGGTTTCATGCTGTTTCTTTAATTCTGACACCGAGTGTGAGAAAGGAATTTGTTCTTCGCTTCAAAGCCTTCCCGTGACACAGGCCGTTCTTAGTCACCCAGGCGGTTCCTGGGAGTCCAGGATGCTGTGCTTCTCAGCTCAGCTGCGTTGTCTGTGTCCACCTTCGCCTTCGGCTCTTCCCACCTGGCCCCTAGTCCCTTCTGTGCCCCAGGCCACGTGCTCGGCTCTGAGAGGGACAGGAAATGGAGACCTAGTTTCTAGGCATGAGGCACACGGAGTGAGGAGCCAGTGCTCAGCTTAGCGGTAACAGGCAGACTCGGTACGGGAGTGGCCCGGCAGGAAGGATGGGATCTGCCCAGAGGATCAGGCCTTCCCCCCAGGCCGGCGGGCAGGGGCAGTGTTAGAACAGGGCTCCCTTTCTGCAGGGTAGGAGCTGAGCTGCAGAAAGGAGGCAGGTTATTGCCAAGAGGGGAGGCCAGCTGAGCCGAAGTGTGGAGGCAGCTATCCCAGGCCTGCTCTTTGGTCCAATAGACCCTTGTGCTATTTTGGTGTAGTGCAGGGGAGGGGCTAGAAGACGAGTTAGGAGAGAAGCATCATAGCTATGAGTAAATGACCATGTTTGGCTGCAGTCTCTTAGATTTGGATGCTCCCTGAGGTTAGGACATCCATCACAGGAGCCTGCCCCGCCCTCCCCGCTCTCCCCACCAGGCAGAAGACAAGAGGCCTCGTGCCCATTGGACAATGTCGTGCAAGTGGGACAGTGTCTTGCAGGGCGGCACAGGCCTTAATTGTTTCTGGCCTTCTGTTGCCTTTGTTCTTCCGCATTCAGGGCCAGCCGTGCTCTGGGCTGGAGGGAAGTGGGCGTTGGCTGGCCACAGAGCCCTGACCTTTGCTCTTCTCTGCAGGAGGCCGCGGACCTGTCCTCCCTGAAGCCCAAGTTGGATGAGCTGGGCGTGCCCCTCTACGCCGTGGTGAAGGAGCAGGTCAAGACTGAGGTGAAGGACTTCCAGCCTTATTTCAAAGGAGAAATCTTCCTGGATGAAAAGGTGTGTCCCCGAGCCTGTGGCAGACAGCAGGGGACTGGGCTCGGGAGCGGAGAGCTCGGTACCGGAGGGGGTGTGGCCTGGAGCTGCAGGCCGGGCTGGGCGTGCTGACAGCTGCCCTGAACTTGCAGGGCCTTCCCAGCCTTTGAGCTGAGCCTGATCGGACACTGAGAAGCTGTCCCTCCCGCGTGCTAATTGAGCGCGTCCTGAATTGTCACCTGGGAAAGGTTGCCCAGGAAGTGGCTGAAACTCCACTGGTTCTCCCCACCCCATAGATGGGGGCCCAGCACAAGCCCCTGTTCCTTAATTCATTGCGGTCATATTTGTTTCCCCTCTGCCCTCCCCTCTGCGAATGTGGGGCTGAGTCACCCCTCAGGCTCAGGAGCCCTGTAGTCTCTACAGTAGGCAAGAGTCAGGGCTGACCGCTGTGGGCCAGACCCTCGCAGCCAGTGCTCCTGGTGTGTGTGTGTGTGTGTGTGTGTGTGTGTGTATGCGCGTGTGCGCGTGTCTGAAAGCCTGGGCCAGACCCTCGCAGCCAGTGCTCCTGGTGTGTGTGTGTGTGTGTGTGTGTGTGTGTGTGTGTGTGTATGCACGTGTGCACGTGACTGAAAGCCTGCACCCTGCTGGGAGCCTGTGGGCCCTGGGGAAGGCGGGCAGCCAGGTACTCAGAGGGTCTGTCCTCACTGCTACAGAAGAAGTTCTACGGGCCCCAGAGGCGGAAGATGATGTTCATGGGGTTCGTCCGGCTGGGTGTCTGGAGCAACTTCTTCCGGGCCCGGAGCGGAGGCTTCTCTGGAAACCTGGAGGGCGAAGGCTTCATCCTCGGGGGCGTCTTCGTGGTGGGATCGGGAAAGCAGGTAACGCCTGGGTCTGTGGGTGTCGGGGTCTGGAGCCTGAGGCCCGATGGGGGAGACTTTCCCTCCTCAGCCTCCTAGAAAGCCGGGCCATGGGGAAGGGGGAGGGGAAGGGGAAGGGGAAGCGGAAGGGAGAGGAATTGCTGTTGATCACAGATCTCACTCCTTAGTTTGCAGGCGAGGGAGGACTCCGAGGTGGCACTCCGGGGCTGAGCCAGGCGCTGTAAGGCCGAGTTCTGCTTTCTGTGCCTGAACAAAAGCCTAGGTTTTCCTGTGGAGAGCGCACTTCTATGTGGTAGTCCCAGGTCACCAAGGTGGACAGTAGAGAAAAGTGGAGGAGAAAGGACTCAAAACAGACCTGATTAGGGGAAGTAGCGAGGAGATGTGGGAAGAGACGCTGGTTCCCCTGTGGGGTTCTGGGGACAGAGCCGCCCTGGCGGGTAACATGCTCACCACACAGGTTTCTCAGGCCCTCGCTGTGAGGATCCAGAGTAGCCCGGGGACCCCAGGGTGTGCGGGGAGATGAGGTCTCTGGCCCCTGAGGGAGGCAGGTGGGTGAGTGCTCTGTCAGACCTTGGGCAGCCTTGAGCTGCAGTGGTTCCGCTTCGCCGGAGGGCAGTGCCTGCAGAGGCCGGGAGGACGCAGAGCAGGGAGGGGGGACGGGGGTGCAGGCTCGAGGGCCTGGCAGAACCTGGAGACGAGGCTTGACTTTGGCCTGGTCTCCAACACCCTTAGCATGGCATTAACTCTTGGCCGCATCTGTAAAAAAGACAGGTTATCTGCATTGGTGGACCTCACAGCTAACACTGATCAGTCCCAGGACTTTTCCTGATTTGGGAGGAATAAAAGCAAATGGGAATAGAAATCCTTCCCTCTCTAATCCCGTCTTTAAAGCTTGGTAACTGCTGCTGCTGGTCTGAATTAGAATCTGGTGTGAGTTGATGTCGGGTTTAATGTAAACCTATTTGCTGGCTTTCTGCCAATACCAGAATGTCATGGCGATATGACTGCCAGAGAGGTCCTGCCTTCTTCCTGGAGCTCAGCTCTCGTGTCTTCACAGCCAGGCTGGGACGTTAGGTGTGCTTATTCCCACCAAGGTGAGGAAATGGGCCCGGAGACATGAACCCAGGGCAGCAGCGTACAGCTAATAGGTGGTACAGTGGAATCGAGACGGTCTGTCCTGCCCTCTCCTCACCCCAGCCTCTCTTAAGCAGTGGTTCCCAAAGGCCCTTCCAGATGCCCTTGCACTTGGGCCGGCCACTTCCTCAGAGGATGGCTCAGGCCCTGCCCACTGTGGCTCTCTGGGATCCCTTCCCCACCCTCCCTCCTTCCCTTGGCCCCTGGGCAGGGCTTGGCTCACCTGCCAGCCTTCTCTTGCCTGGTGGTGACTCATGGGGTGCTCACGGGCTCCCCATTCTTGGCTGGTGTGCCCCTGGAGTTGCTAGGCATGGTGTTTGGCTTTGTTGGTGCTCCCTGGAGCTCCTGTGTCCATCCTTCCTGCTGGAAGCTGACAACTGGCCAAGCCTCGGGACTGGCCTCCAGGTTCCCTCGGAGCAGAGCTCTGTAGCCCTGTGCCAGGTGCCTCAGTGGGGTTTCCTTTGTAATCACCTTTAAAGCATAATTACTTTAGAGAAGGAATGTGTTTTCCACATAAACAATTTGAAAATGAAACAGAGAGCGTCCTTTATGCTCAGCCTCCACCGAAAACCGGCTGGCACAGAGCGGAGCAGAGCGGCCTTTTGTTTTGTTGTTTTCAGAAGATGGTTTCTTACTAAACTAGATGTTCTTCTTCACTTAATGGTGGATCATGAGCATTCCCCGTGTCGTGTATGCCCCTCCGCGGCACTGCAGTGTCTCATCCTGCTTTGCTGGTCTGCTTCCCTGTATCACCTATGTGCCAGGACTTTCCCCTTGTGAGTTTGACATACTTGGAGGAAGCTTTATAAATAACTAGAGGCCTGGTGCATGAAAATTTGTGCACTTGGGGGGGTCCTTCACCCCGGCCTGCCCCTACTCACTGTCCGAGACCCTCAGGGGATGTCCCTGGGGAGCAGGCCTAAGCTACAGCCTGCCTCCCTCTGCGGGAGGCGACCAGGCCCATCAGGGAAAGGCTCTGCCCCCATCACCCTGCTGCTGCTGCTGCCACTGTCGGCTGCTGCAGCCATGAGGCCTGAGCCTGGGACCTCGCAGACGCTGTGGTTTTGTCCGGATAGATGTCCGGAAGATGTCCACTCTAATTAGCATATTACCCTTTTTATTAGTATAGATGGCACACCGAGCACGTTTACAACTGTTTACTTTTTAAATTTAAGATGAGTTCCCAGATGTCATGGGTCAAAAAACGGTTAACAAGAATGCCTTGATTCTGACCTCAAACATTATTTTATCTTTCTTACCACTTCAGGGTACTGTGGGGTACCCTGTATTTTAGTGCATTTTCCATCCCAGCATCAGAGGTGAGGGCCCATTTCTTAGGAAAACTTATGTGAAGAGAGGGCCACTTCTCAGATGGCCATTCAGCACCGCCAGAGTCTGACCTCTGAGCTCCCATACTTTCCAGCTCATTCATTCCTCTGTCCTGGCACATCCTTTTACCTCACCTCTCCCTGTGGACATCCTGGTTACTCTCCTGCTTTACCACCTGGGAAGTCTTCCCTGAGCGCTGGATGAGATGTGATCACCCATGACTTCTCACTCCCAGAGGCTGCAGTACAATCCAGACATTGTGTCTTGGCTGTCCCCTGACCCACCCCCAAGGACTGAATCCTCAGGGGGAAGAGCCAGCCTGATCCGGCCTCTGTCCCCTGCTGCTTGAGCACAGGGCTTAGTGGACAGCTGCCGCACAGTGTCGTCTCATGAACAAACGACTCGGAATGAGGACTGATGTTCCCTCTTCTTTCCTTCCAGGGCATTCTTCTCGAGCACCGAGAAAAAGAATTTGGAGATAAAGTAAACCTAGCCTCTGTTCTGGAAGCTGCTAAGAAGATCAAACCACAGGCTGCAAATTTAGCCTCAGAGGAAAAGTGACTGTGGGCTCTGCCCAGCTCAGGGATAAGAGGGGCTCACCTGTGTGCACAGGAGGCCCGGGTTCCACTCGTGTCACTTAGGCCATCTCTTTAGACTAGATCACTCCTTACTTTAACACTGTGCTCTGTTTAGGCTCAGTGAGAGAAAATAGCCCCCAAATAAGACTGATAAAAATCTAAGATGTGAGTGAGGGTTATTTCAGCTAAACCCTGCAAAACATGAGGCTTAAAGCTGGCTGGAGCGCTGCATTACAAACGTATATGGTGTGTGAGGTGCTGTTATTGGAAATTAGTTTACTTTCGTGTCTTTAAAAACCTAGGGGAATTTGGTGATTGACTAGAAGATTGCGGATTGAAGGCTTTTGGTTGTGTTTTCTACAATGACTTGTTACATAAGATTAAAGTAATAACATAAAGGAATGATGTGCTCTGGATGGCTTGATAAAGGTAGATCATAAAATGAAATCTGTTTGTTGTCTTCCTTTCTAACCACAGAGGTTTGTTTTTCTGGAAGAAATGATCATCTCTGGCTTTACTAAAATAGCAGGAATTGCCTGTGATACAAGTTTTTCTGATAAAGCCAACAATAAAAAAATTTACCATAATGATGGCTGAATTTAAGTCGTCCGTGCCAAAGACGATTTAAATGCGAAAAGTCAGCATTTCCGTATGTGTGGGGTGAGCTAGAGGTGTGGTGTGTGCACAGGCCTGAGGGCTGGGCTCCTGAGCCTCCAGGGCACGCTCTTCAGGGCTTCACCTGGGTCATACTGTGACTCATCCCCGGGAGCGGGACCCCTGGTGCCTGAAGGCCCTTGATTCTGAAACGGCTCTCTCGTAACTAAAGAAGAGTCCACCCTATGAGGACATTGCCCCAATGGATGCATAAGGGAAATGATGTGATAGTTAGGATTCCCTCGCCAGCTGTTTTACTCCTGAGACCTCGAGCCCCGGGTCTCCCTTCTCTGACTGGGGTGGCGGTGTGCAAAGAACGGCACATCAAGCCGAGAGATGGGCTCTCGGTCCAGTTTAACTTTGAGCAAAGCTCTGGCCCTCAGCTCTCCTGGGAAAGGGAGCATCATCGTTCCTGTCTACCACACAGGAATGTTTGTTGGAGTCATTGAGGGGATGATAAATATTGTAAGTCATTGCTGCTCACATGCAGATCACCTAGGGAGCTTGATGACATGGAGACAGTAACAAAAAGCCAGACACTGTTACAAGGCAGCGGAGGCAGGTGTTCTTCAGTGTGTGTGTGTGTGTGTGTGTGTGTGTGTGTGTGTAAAAGAGAGGCCTCTATAAAGCAGCGCAGCTGGGCTCTGCGCAGAGGTGCCTGGGTTTTAAGGGAGAAAGAAGGGGGTGGGGGGAGAGACACGCAGGGGCTCAAAGTGGGAAATCACAGAAAGCAGGCTGGGGGTTGCTCCATGTGATCAGGCCTCTGTGTCTGCTAACTGGCCATCCCCCCAGGCCTCTCCCCTCCCACAGAGACAGGGTTGGGGCCCCCACTGTTCTCATGATTGCATTTCAAAGGATGGCTCCCAGTCCTTGAGAAAGACACTCCTGGGAGATACAAACACATCTCAGAGACAGAGAAAGGATTGCAATGTAAGGTTTTTAAACGAATGCTCTTAAGAAAAGGGAGGTCAGAGACCTACATTCAGGTGTTTGGCCTGAACAAGCTAAGTTCTTCAGCCAGCCTAGAGCTTTCCCAGGCGGGGACTGGGGGAGGGCCGGGTTCGCCCCAGGGAAACGGCCTTGGGCTGCTTTGTGAAGGCTGGTGCAGGAGGTGGGCCGAGCTATTTGTGCTGAGAGTTTCACAGTTAAGAGTTTCTGCATTTCTAACAAGCTCCGGGGGATGCTGACCTCTACTGGTCTAAGGCGTACACTTTGAGAAAGGGAATCAATCTCAAAGACCTTACAAATCAAAGACAATGTCTGTGGGCTTTGGGCTTGAAGCTTCAGCAAGTGTGTGACAAGCATTGGCAGGTTCCTTTTCTTTATCTGAAAACCAAAATAATGCAAAATACCAGGAGAATGCAAGAGAGAGTCCTTGCTAAAAAGCTGCAGGTTCTCAATTTGGAACACAGCGGAACCACCTGGGAATGGATGTTTACATAAATCCTGCCCAGGCCACACCACAGGTCCATTCAATCAGAATCTGGGATGAGACTCAGGCAGCAGTATCTCTGAGCTCCCGGATGATTCCAGCATACAGCCAAGGCTGAGAACCATCCTAAAAGAACTCAGTGACAAGTTTGCTATGCCAGAGCTCCCACCTCAACTTCCCCAGAACCAGGCTGCTCCCAGTAATCTCTGATGAGTTTTGGAAAACAGTCGTTAGGGGGCAAGGGTCAGGAATGGTGTGGACATGAATGTGGAGGGATCTTTTTAAAGAAAACAAGACTATTTGGACAGATGCAGAGGGTAAAGAAATGGGTCCTTTCAGGCAGGATCGAGGCCCTGAGCCAAGATAATGGCTGGAGGGAAAGAATAGAGGTATGGATTGGAGAACAGGGAGGAGCCCGTCCACTTCGTTTATCTGATTGGCTGCCCTCTTCCCCAGTACACTGAGTCCTCAAAAGCAGTGCTCTTTTCTCATGGAGGACTATTTTAAAGTTAAAGACAAACAAACACCATTTTACTGAGGGGAAAAGCAGTGTTCTGGCTACTTTATTTCTTTTTATTTCTTTTTTAATGTATTTCTTAATTTTTAATTGATTTCAGAGAGGAAGGCAGAGGGAGTGAGAGAAACATCAGTGATGAGATTGAATCATTGATTGGTTGCTTCCTGAATGGGGATCCAGCTCACAACTCGGGCGTGTGGGCATGTGCCCTGACTGAGAATCAAACCGTGACCTCCTGGTTCATAGGTTGATGTTCAGTCACTGAGCCACGTCTGCCCAGCAATTCTCTCTCATACTTGATTTCTCTTTTGCCAGAGCCACGCATCCCTGTGGGGTGGGGGTGGGAAAGGAAGGTGAGCTGGGGGAAGAGGCTGTAAAGGGCTGTGGTAGAAGAAATCACAGGGTCCAACTGAACGCTTCTCCTCAGCCCGGGCCACGTTCCCTCATTCTGTTACCAATGTCCCATGGGGCAGGTAGGTGAAAGATGAAACGGGCCAAGACCGGGACCAGGACACAGGCTTTATTGAAGAGAGGAGTACCGCTGACAGCTGCCTTCCTAAAGGAAGAGAGGAAGAGAGCCGAGGTGCAGGCACCTTTTAAGGGGAGGAAAGAGCCGAAACCAGTAGAGCGTCGGTCTGTGGACTGAAAGGTCCCAGGTTCGATTCTGGTCAAGGGCATGTACCTGGGTTGCGGGCACATCCGCAGTAGGGGGTGTGCAAGAGGCAGCTGGTTGATGTTTCTCTCTCATCGATGTTTCTAGCTCTCTATCTTTCTCCCTTCCTCTCTGTAAAAAATCAATAAAATATATTTTTTTAAAAAGGGGGTGGGGGAGGAAAGAGAAGGGGTGGGGCTTAGGGCACTCAGCACACGCTGGTTGGTGGTTTCATGTAAGGCATATGATTAGGGACCTAGGGACTTAGGAATCGGGGGCTTAGGGTATTTGGCAGGTGCTGATTGGTGGTTCAGTGCTCAGGAATGTCTGGCTGCAGGTGGAGTTTATGTCATTCCCCATCCATCAGTTGGAGGAAGGGAGGATCAATCAAAAGGCAGGTATGACTTTGTGGGTGTATGTTTGGGCGGGAAGGGGAAAGAAAAGTTGCCTTGTTCTGCTTTAACCCCTCAAATTCTTTCTAGGTTTAAAGGGGAACAGTCTTTTGTTTAGAAGGGATCCCTGGATTCGGGGGAGGGAGGGAGGATGATCCTTTCAAAGACTACACTCTTCTTTCCCGGTACCTCTGGTCACCTTTCTGTGTAATCTAGTGATGGTCCGGGCCAACCCAACAAATTAAGAGTAGGATCAATTTTTCCGATACTCAGGACAAGAACAGGGAGTAATGCAGACAGGTTGGCCCAGGAGGACTTTTCTTTCATAAAGTGGGCACTTGGGCAGAGACCTGGAAGAAGTAAGGAAGTAGGTCTTATGAATTTTGAAGGAATGTTCCAAGCAAGGGGAACAGCAAGTAGAAAGGGCCAGAAGTGGGGGTGGGATTGTCATATTCCAGGGACATTTGAAGGAAGTGTGGCTCGAGCAACATGCGTGAAGAGCAGGGGTTGGAAGTAAGATGCGAAGGTGGTCGGATGGTGGATACACACCATATGGTCTGGCAGGCCATGGTGAGAATGGAATTTTACTGAGAGAGATGGAGATCCACGGGAGAGTCTGGCGAAGAGGAGCAGCCTAATTTGATTTATTATTCTGACTGCTTGAGACAATACATTGAATAGACCATAGGTTTCACCAGGGAGACCATTAGAATGCCACTGTAATAATCCAGGCGAGGGGTAATGGGGTAGAGCAGTAGGTAGCAGTGGAGGTGATGAGAAAGTCAGGTGCTGGGTATAAGTGAAGGCAGAGCTAAGAGGATTTCCTGAATGATAGATGTGGATGTCAGAGAAAGAGGAGTCTAGGATGACTGCAAGATTTGGGGCCTAAACAACTAACTGTGCATGAATTTTGCACTAGAAATGATGGGGTAAAGGGAAGGTTTTAATGTGCTACAACAGTTACAGTGAATACACTGGAGGTGTCCATATCAATTCGGGGTGCATCAAAACAATGTTAGAGAGCCGAAACCGGTTTGGCTCTGGATAGAGCGTCAGCCTATGGACTGAAAGGTCCCAGGTTTGATTTTAGTCAAGGGCATGTACCTTGGTGGTGGGCACATCCCCAGTAGGGGGTGTGCAAGAGGCAACTGATCAAATTCTCTCTCATTGATGTTTCTAACTCTATTCCTCCCTGTAAAAAATCAATAAAGTATATTTTTTAAAAAATGTTAGGGAAAAGAATAAGCTTAGAAATGGTACACTCATGATACAATTAGCATAAAGGTTTTTTTTTTTTTAAAATAAATTTTTATTGTTCATATTATTACAAATGTTCCTTCCCCCCACCATTGCTCTCCTCCACCAGGTTCCCACCCCACCCTCTGCCCTTTCCCCACTCCCCATTGTCCTCATCCATAGGTGCACAGTTTATGTTCAGTCTCTTCCCACATCCCTCTCTCCCCTTTTCCCCAAGAATTGTCAGTTCACTCCCCTTCCATACCTCTGATTCTATTATATTCAACAGTTAATATTGTTCATCAGATTTTTTTTTTAATTTCCTTGGTTTTTAGATTCACTTGTTGATAGAATATTCAAGGTGATGAATAGTAAAAACCTTCAGCCAAAGATAATCTATCCAGCAAAGCTATCACTCAGAATCGAAGGTCAGATAAAGAGCTTCACTAATAAAAAAAAGCTAAAGGAGTTCATCATCACCAAACCAGAATTATATGAATTGCTGAAGGGGGTTCTTTCAGAAGAGAAAGTAAATAAAGATAAAAATTATGAACAACAAATACGTAACTATCAACAAGTGAATCTAAAAACCAAGGAAATTAAAAAAAAAATCTGATGAACAATTAGCATAAAGTTTTAAGGCACACACAACAGTATTGTTCAGAGCTCCATGCATATGTGGTAAAGTGTAAAAACACATATGGAATGATAAACAACGTACATCCAGGGTTGAGCACCATCTCTGGTTGCTTCACACTTAAAAAAAAACCAAATACCTATTTCCCAGGCCAGTCCTAGTCCAGTTAAACCAGAATCTCTGGGGATAAAGCCAAGTATCAGTATTGTTTGTAAAGCTCCCTAGGGCGTTCTAGTATGGCGGCAGGGTGAAAAACCACTGCCTTAAATTGAGAAACGACTGTAAAGTCTTACAGAAGCACAAGGAATGTCCCCCTTTCATATTCAGGCCTTGGACAGAGTATGTGTTTTGGAGTTAGGCAAGAGACATAATTCTCATGTCTCGGCCAGGAAACATGAAGAAACTCTCCCAAGAGACAGATAAGCCCAGACTGTGGCCTCTTCATATCCCAGGAGCTCCTCGGAGAAACGGCTGGTTGCAGGTTTGGGGCAGAAAATGTACAAGATAAGCCTGGAACTTATTGTCAAACTACATATTAAGTACGCTCTTAAAGACTCCTGAAGGCGGATAGAAAGGATCCAGGATCTACCTAGGAAAGGGTCTCTCTGGCTAAAGATGGGACAATGTGGACATCTTTAATTGCATTGGATTAAAACACACTGGATATGTTCAAAAAGATCCTTTAAGAAAAAAAAAATATTTGGATGATGCTAAAAACATCAACTCATTTTAAAACCTGGAAAATAAAGAAAAAGAAATAAGCATGTATCCTGCGTTTTTGTAACTTCAAAGTAACCCTAGAGCTGATGAGGGAAATCTCTCAGAAGTACTCTGAGCCTGTCCAGCCAATTAGAATGGGAGAGGCCAGTGGGAGGGGCTGAGTCTTCGCAAATGCCTCTCTGGGTTTATCTGTAGGGCAGAGCTCAGAAAAGAGTTCTGAACTAAGTCTCCAGAGTTGGGCCATTCTCTTCCTTCACTGAGCCTGTCTCTCCATCTGTACCGTGTAGGTGCTGCTCTAGGTTTGGTGGCCACAGGCCCTATAGTTTCTTCAGCAAGACCAAACCTGGAGTCCAGATCTCAGTTCACATCTGGTGCTATTGTTACTGAACCGATCCTCCTTGCCTCAACGGACTGGACATTCCAGCAAAGCAGGGACATGTTGTCTTATTCTTCCTGGTCTCCTTAGCTCCCAGCACTGAGCCCGGCCCTCAGTAACTAACACAGCTTGGATGGCAAAAGCAACCATAAGCAAAGTCCAAAGACCAACAAATAACTGGGAAACACATTGGCAACTCACACTACCAAGGGCTGCTTTTCCAAATACCAGCTCTTAATGCAATAGAAGGATAATGGTGAGAATGCCAGCTTCCTGCCTGTATATATGGGGCTTGGAAGTTAACCCCCTATCCTAACTAGTACAAAGGTGAACAAACTAGAAAGTCAACAACTCTTCTGAGATCTTTAGTAGAAATGAGGAAACAGGGCACACTGCTGTCCCCAAAGCTGGGGAGACCAACAGGTAAATACTGAGAATCAGAGCTTACCAAAGAGAAATCTGTATGAGAGAGCTCTGTGAGTTCCAGTCCCTGGTGGGAACACCTAACCTGTAACTGAGGGCTCACTGCTGGGGGCTCACTGTGGACAATTTGAGAGTCAAGAATGCCAAGGGGACTAAGTCATAGGCAGACCTCACACTTTATGAGTTTTACCTCCAGAAGCTCGACCAGGTGCTCACAATATTAGAAAAATGTCCCCTCGTGCTTCTGGCAGGGGGAGAAGAAAAGCAAGTATTCTGAAATATGTGACTATGAATCACGTGTGTGTGTACACACTACTAAATTGTACCACCATGTTACTAAAGGACTACTAATGGCAATTCCTTTAACTCAGTACATCATGTCCAGCAATCAAGAAAAAAAGAAAGAAAGAAAGAAAGAAAGAAAGAAAGAAAGAAAGAAAGAGAAAGAAAGAAAAGGTATATATCAATAAAAGGCAAAAATATAGTTTGGAGCTTCCAGTCCAGATGGCAGAATAGGTAAATGCTGTGCTTGCATCCTCCCACAACCACCTCAAAATTACAACTAAACTACAGGACATCCACCATTCAGAACCTCCTGAAATCTAGGTGAACAGAAGTCCTACAAATAAGGATATAAAGAAGCCACACTGAGACTGGTAGGAGGGACAGAGTCTCTGAACAGGCCTGGTTAAAATCGGGAGGGATATCTTGGCTGCAGACATCCCCCGTGAGAAGTGAGGGGTCCTAGGCCCATACCAGGCCTCCCAGTTCAGGGTTCCAGTGTCAGGAAGAAAAGGCCCCATAACTTCTGGCTGTGAAACCAGTGGGGATTGTGGCTGAGTGAGACGGAGGGCTTCTGGAGCCCCAGGTGTTCCTCTTAAAGGGACTGCTCACAGGCTTACTGGGACTCACTAGATCTGAGGTCCAGCACTGGGGCAGCAGCCCCAAAAGCACCAGGACATACAAGAAAAAACTGAAGTGTTGGGCATCAGGGCAAGAGCCAGAAGGGCAGCTTTCTCCCGGACTGAAGTGCTGGCAGAGACCATTGTTCCTTTGCTGAGCCCTCCCTCCACCGAGCCAGCAGGCAGTGCCATATCTGAGTCTCCATCAATCTCCATAACATTGTTAGCCTCGCCCTGGAGATTCCCTGAGAACCTGCCCCACCCAAATTTTGGGCACACCCAAACCATTCCCACTGGCTTTTCCATACAGATGGTCATCTTGGCTCATGCTACAGACTTTCCTAAAACTCCCAAACAAGCAGCATCTGGCCTAAGAGTGCCTTGTACCTCTCGCTAAGTGGCCCCAAGCCTGGCACTACTGGCAGCCCAACTTGATTCACAGATTGGCCTCACCTGGGCATCTCCAGGCCCAGCAAGAGAAACAGACATGCAGATCACTTTGCAACTCAGGTTGAGTGGCCCCGGTCAGGCCACAGGTGGTGGCTGACCTTGGCCTGCACCTACCAGAAGGCCTGAGAGCCAGCACACCTGGTAGACAGCTTTAGAACATGCTGAAGCACCACCTAATTGCTTCCACAAGCAACACACTCAAGGGGCAGACTCAGCAGGCACCAGAGCCTCACTGAAGCAAGTCCTGCTCCATGGAGTCAGCCTCTGCACAGCAGCTTCTCTACAGTGATAGTGATCAGTCAGCGCAGCTGAATGGCCTGGGGGTGAATTCCTCCCAACAGCAATCAAGGATCAACTATGGCAGGCATATACAGCCCACACAGGTGTGTGTGTGTGTGTGTGTGTGTGTGGGCGGGGGGGGGGGGGGGGGGGGGGGGGGGTTGCATCTGAAGTGCAAGCTCAAGTGACCAGGGAGGCTGTGGTGCCACTAAGCCCTACAGGGCACCTGCTACATAAGGCCACTCTACCAAGACCAGAAGATGTAGCAGTCTACCTAACACGTAGAAACAAACATAAGGAGGTAGACAAAAATAAGGAGACCAAAAAACGTCCCAAATGAAAGAACAAAATAAAACTCCAGAGAAAGAAAGAAACAATCTACCAGATGCAGAGTTCAAAACACTGGTTATAAGTATGCTCAATGAACTTAGGGAGAAATCCATCAAAGAGATAGGAAACATAAAAATGAGGTTAAAAAAGAACCAGTCAGAAATGAGGAATACACAAACTGAAATGAAGAACATATTATAGAGAATCAGCCGTGGTATAGGTAAAGCAGAGGATCAAATCAGTAATTTAAAGGTATTTAAGCAGAAAACACACAATCAGAACTCAGAACAGGAAAAAGAAAAAATAATCCAAAGAAAATTAGGACAGTTTAAGGAGCCTATGGGATAAATTCAAACAAACCAAACATTCACATCATGGGGGTGCTGGAAGGAGAAGAGAGAGAGCAAGGGATTGAAAATTTATTTCAAAAAATAATGACAGAGCCGAAGCCAGTTTGGCTCAGTGGTAGAGCGTCGGCCTGCGGACTGAAAGGTCCCGGGTTCGATTCCGGTCAAGAGCATGTACCTTGGTTGCGGGCACATCCCCGGTGGGAGGTGTGCAAGAGGCAGCTGGTCGATGTTTCTCTCTCATCGACGTTTCTAGCTCTCTATCTCTCTCCCTTCCTCTCTGTAAAAAAATCAATAAAATATATTAAAAAAAATAATAATAATAATGACAGAAAACTTCCCTAACCTGATGAAGGAAATAGACATACAAGTCTAGACAATGCAGTGTGCCAACAAGATTATCCCAAAGAACCTCACACTAGACACATCATAATTAAAACACCAAAGGTTAAAAGCAAAGAGAGAATCTTAAAAGCAGCAAGAGAAAAACATAGCCTATAAGAGAGCTCCCATAATCCTATTTGCTGATTTTTTTTCAACAGAAACTTTGCAGGTCAGAAGTAATTGGCACAAAATATTCAAAATTATGAAAAGCAAGGACTTACAACCAAGATTATTCTATCCAACAAAGCTATTATTTAGAATTAAAGGATTGAGAATTTCTCAGTAAGAAAAATGCTAAAATTTCAGTACCACCAAATCAGTATTACAAGAAATGTTAAAGGATCTTCTTATAAAGAAGGAAAAAAAAAGACAAAAAATATGAATAATAAAATGATAAGTACACATCAACAATTACTTTATTATTATTTAAAATTGATTGAGAGAGAGAGAGAGAGAGAGAGAGAGAGAGAGAGAGAGAGAGAGAGAGAAACATTGATATGAGAGAGAAACATTGATCAGTTGCCTCCTCATGTTCCCTGATCGGAAGTCAAACCCACCACTTTTTGGTAACAATTACTTTAAATGCAAATGGTTAAATGTTGTCATAAAAAGACAGGGTGGCCCCTGGCCAGTGTTGCTCAGTGGTGGAGCATCGACCCATGAACTTGGAGGTCAAGGAACATGCCTGGGTTGCATGCTTGATCCCCAGTAGGGGGTATACAAAGAGGCAGCCAATTGGTGATCCACTCTCATCATTGATGTTTCTTTCTCTCCCTCTTCCTCCCCCTCTCTGAAATAAATAAAAACATTTAAAAAAATACATACAGTGGCTGAATGAATAACAAAACAAGACCCTTACTTACATATGTTGTTTACAAGAGACTCACTTCAGATTGAAAGACACACAGACTGAAAGTAAAGGGATGGAAAAAAAGATATATAATGAAAATAAAAACAAACAAAAAAGATTGGGGTAGCAATACTTATACCAGACAAAATGGACTTTAAAACAAAGTACATAACAAGATAAAGAAGGACCCATCATTTCCACTTGTTTTTTTTGTTTTGTTTTGTTTTTAAAAAAATATATTTTATTGATTTTTTACAGAGAGGAAGGGAGAGAGATAGAGAGCCAGAAACGTCGATGAGAGAATCATCGATCAGCTGCCTCCTGAACCCCGCCTACTGGGGATGTGCCTGCAACCAACGAACATTTCCTTGACCAGAATCGAACCTGGGACCTTTCAGTCCGCAGGCCGACGATCTATCCATTGAGCCAAACCGGTTTCGGCTTTATTTATGATTTTAATAAGTTGAGTATTTTTTTGCCAGTCTAGCTAAAGATTTCTCAATTTTGTTGATATTTGCAAAGAATCAACTTTTGATTTTGTTGATTTCCTCTATATATTTTTTCTACTTTCTGTTTAGTTTATTTTGGCATTAATTTTTATTATTTCCTTCCTTCTGTTTGTGTTGGGTTTAGTTTGCTCTTCTTTCTCTAGTATCTTAAGGTGCAGAGTTAGGTTACTGATTTGAGATCTTTTTAAATGTAGGT